CAACACTCTCTCACAAATATAGAGTATATCTGATTTTGCTCCCACTGAACTCAATGACTAAAACCTCTCATTAATGTTATTTGAGTGAGGACTGGACCTTTAATAATTCCTGAAGAGTGAGACAGATTTTCCTGATTTAGGAGACTAAGAAGCAAGTACCATACAGTAAATCCTGGAGGTTGGCCAGACAAACTGAGCGGACCTGAAGGAAACAAGATTTGTCTCTCTTTTGAGCACAGCAGATAAGACCAGTCCTGAAGGAGGAGTCCAGTGTCTCTGAAAACCACTACACATCAGCTTTGGTATTCTGGGGCCTGCTCCAACTCTGATTAAATCAGTGGAAAGACTACCATTAACTTTAATAGGAGTACGGTCAGTCCAAACTGATACCTAGAAAAATTTTCAGTAGGCATATGATTGCTCTAATATGGTCACAACAACCCAAATAGCAAAGTTTAATGATGAAAGTTAAGAATTAACTGCCACCGAAAGATTCTTAAAATCAGAAATCTAAATTCAGAACTCACTGCAGAGGATGAATAATTCACAAGTCATTCTTGCAGGTGGTGACTTAACTGAATTTTTTTTTTAGGTTACTTGTCATCAGTTCTTAGCTGTATTTACATATATCCATTTCTAGATATGTATATCTTATCTTGTAATTACTTTCCAAGTGTTGATTTGGTGTTTATGCTGGATGGGATAGCAACAGTTTTCAACTGGCTGTTATGATGAACAAGCATCGAGTTAATTTTTTTGCACTAAATCTTTTCTGTTGATTTGCATTTTTGATTCACAAACACACACACACACACACATTTATTTTTGTTTAATTCGTCATTTGCAGCATGACTTTTCAGAAGCACAGCATATCTGCTTGTTCCCACTGATGCCAAAAGTCTTTTGAGGTCCAATCTGGAACCAAATGACGTCAGTGAGAATTTTTTGCCCTTGACTTTAGCAGGAGCAAGATTGGACATTCTCTGGCTCTAATCCTCGATTCACTGCATATCAACAGGCCTGTTGCTTGGAGCCCTGCTGAAGTAAATTGACCTCTGCATGGGCACAGCAGTCCATCCATGCACAGCCAATTGAGGAATCAAGGCTTATACTACTTACGTGCCTACATGCACTCTGTTGGCTGGCTGCAGCTTAGATATACACTAAGAATCCTTCTGTTGCTGATAGCTAACATACCTTTTCCATTAAATCAAAATGTCAGAGCTCTTTACAGCTCTGCAGGTGTGTAATTCATGTATTTTGTAGTGCTAGAAACTACTGCAAAATTATTAGTGACCTCATTCTGAGACGTACTGAGCACCTGCTACTCTCACTGACTTCAGTGGGATTTGCTAGTACTCAGTTGTCATAATATAAAGGGAAGGGTAAACACCTTTAAATCCCTCCTGGCCAGAGGAAAAACCCTTTCACCTGTAAAGCGTTAAGAAGCTAAGATAACCTTGCTGGCACCTGACCAAAATGACGAATGAGGAGACAAGATACTTTCAAAACTGGGGGGGGAGGGACAAAGGATCCTCTCTGTCTGTCTGTGTGATGTTTTTGCCGAGACCAGAGCAGGAATGCAGGTCAGAACTCCTATAAAGAGTTAGTAAGCAATCTAGTTAGATATGTATTAGATTCTGTTTTGTTTAAATGGCTGACAAAATAAGTTGTGCTGAATGGAATGTATATTCCTGTTTTTTTGTAACTTAAGGTTTTGCCTAGAGGGATTCTCTATGTTTTGAATCAGATTACCCTGTAAGGTATTTACCATCCTGATTTTACAGAGGTGATTCTTTTACTTTTTCTTTAATTAAAATTCTTCTTTTAAGAACCAGATTGCTTTTCATTGTTCTTAAGATCCAAGGGTTTGGGTCTGTATTCATCTATGCAAATTGGTGAGGACTTTTATCAAGTCTTCCCCAGGAAAGGGGGTGTAGTGCTTGGGGGGATATTTTGGGGAGGAGATGTTTTCAAGTGGGAACTTTCCCTGTTATTTTTGTTACCCACTTTGGTGGGGGCAGCATAAAGGTTCAAGGACAAAAGGTAAAAGTTTGTACCTTGGGGAAGTTTTAACCTAAGCTGGTAAGAATAAGCTTAGGGGGTCTTTCATGCAGGTCCCCACATCTGTACTCTAGAGTTCAGAGTGGGGAAGGAACCTTGACATCAGTACATCTGAAAATTAGGTTGGGATAATACAGAGGGTAGAAAGAGAAAGAAAGAACAAACTGATGAGTTGGCAGATGCTAGGTGTGCTCACTGGAGGGGAGAGAGAAGAGAACACCATAATAATCCCTAGTCATAAATTTGCTGCTGACTTAGTATTTAACTTTGCAACTGATAAGCCAGTGAAACCTGAAAAGACGTATCCTCTTTTTAAGAGTTCAAAAACAGCTAATGATAAATGAGCCATATTCCCCTGGGTTTTCTTTTCCCCTTTAGAGGCTATGGTTAATATTTTCATAACCGATCAATACTATGTGGAAGTGAGAGTAACAGTTTCACCTTTAATGTTGTTAGTCTACTTGTGATTTGCAATTTACACAACAACTGCAGTTGCTGGTGGGGAAAAAGCAATAGTTTACAAAACCCAATAGAAATCATCAGTAATTAGGGATCAGAGCTGGCCAAAACTACAGATTTTCAGTTCCAGGGAAATTTGGAAACTTGGTTTTGTTCTGATTTGGACTGAAACAAAAAAAATTTTAAATTTCCCATGAACCCAAAAAAGTTTCATTTCATGAACACTGACACATGGTATTTCTAAAACAAAATATGCTCCCTGGGATCATAGGAGCTGCTGACTCAAATAGATAAGAATGTCAATTTTAGGCAGCAGCTGCTGGGGTTCTGAGGGTCTCCAGCTCTGGGGCAGCCCTACTATGCAGACTGCCCTGTGCCAGGGACTCCAGGACTTCCAAAATCCCAGGGCTGCCTGCTTAAGAGTCAGACAACATAGGGAACCAGCTGGCCCAGGAGCCTCATAGCCCTGGGGTCTCCAGGACCAGGGCAGGGTTGCCCTACAGCCACAGACCTCGATGCTCACACCAGGACTTCCAGGCTCCCAGCTCCATGGCAGGGAGTTCAGAAGCTCTGAGAGCCGCCATGGTTCCAGGCTTCCCATTTCATGGCTTTGAAAACTTTAGGGCATCAGATCAAATAAATGTACTCGGTAAGTCTGGGAGCTATTTTGCCTTTCACAAAAAAAGAAATACTTCTTTAAAAGACGGTGTTGGCCCATGCCTTGCAACATGCTAATTAGTAACGAAAGACAACCCTTCATGAATCAGTCTTCTAATCAGGTGTTGGTAAATGAAATGTGGGGAGGGTGATCAGAGAATTTAGTGGAGAAAGTGTTAATTTGGAACTCAGTTTAGAGATCAAAGCAGAGCTATGCAGAGATATGTAAAAAGCACATTAAATATACAAGTGTGGACTGGTGGTCTCGTTCTGATTTGCTTTTTCCATCAACTCAGAGATCAAAAGGCAGAACGATTACGTTAATTTTCACTTTTTAATGTACACCTCTCCCCAGACCCCCTGCTCCTTCCATCGTGTTCTTTATCCTGTGTCCTCCTGAAGAGACTGTAGTGACTGAAAGGCTGTATTTTCCTATTTGATAGTTTTCTATGAGGTACCACCTTAAATGTATAGCCAACACAGTTACAGGAGAGTCAGATAGATGCTATTCTGTCTCAAACATCACTAACAAAATTGCAAGAGGTTGCAATAATTTCCCTATCTTAGACCCACATTTCTACTCGTGCCTTCATCTTTTGTGGTGTTTCAGCAGGGGTGCAACAAGGAGATAAAGTTTCTCTCACCATCCTCCCACCTTGCAGGGCCAGTCACAATCTGGCCTTGTTTGTATTGCTGATTGCGTGAAACTGAAGGAAACTTATGCCTACTTAATAAAATGCATGGGTATGTATCAGTTTTTCTAGATACAACGCAGCTCTTAAAGTAGACTCTAGCCATATGCTTGTCTTGGACACCACTGTGACTTTTAGAATTTGGTCGTTAATTTTAAATTTAACAACAAATCTGTTGTCTGCAGCAAAAGATTACTGAAGCATCCTATCTTGATCACGAGCCAAATGTGGTTTGCTATATTACTACAGGTATTTCTGTGAGACAACTGTTGTATTAACGTAGATGGAATATACAGGCCAAAGTTTTAACATAACCCAATCACTGTCCAACATTAAACGGTGTAAAATAAGGTTTAGGGTTTGGCATCAAGAGTCCTCAGCCTTATTACCATGGCAGGCACACTGTTAAAACTCCTTTTAACCTTTTACTAGACACAGAAAAGTAGGGGAAACTGTTAAAGTACTTGGAACATAAAATGTTCATTTTAAAAACATTCCTTATTCCCTTTAGCTGGAAATTTAAAAAAACACCTTCTTTGCCATGGTTTTAGGTTTGTGGTTCTCCCCCAACCTCATTCTTAGTTACAGAACATGTGGTGTTGTAGTGTATGTCTACACCACAATTAGACACACATGACTGGCCCATGCCTGCTGATTCGGGCTACAGGGCTATTTAATTACAGTGTTGACTTTGGGGCTTGGGCTACCGCCCAAGATCTGGGACCTTCCCAACTCACAGGGTCCTAGAGCCCAGGCTCCAGCCCTAGCCCAAATGTCTACACTGCAATTAAATAACCCCTTAGCCCAAGCCCTGTGAGCCTGAGTCAGCTGGCACAGACCAGCCAGCATTTTTTAATTGCAGTGTAGACGTACAGTAAGAGTCTGAATCAACTTCCATTGAAGCAAATGAAAAAAGAAAAGAGGAAAAAAAAAAACCACCTCCCACTGACTTTAATGGGAGCTGGGTCACGTCACTGATCATTTGAAGAATATAATACCATTGGGCCTTCCCAAGACAAGAAAATAACTATCATCTTGTCACTCCTTTGGACAAGCTGGTTTGATATAGGAACACAGTAAACACTGACGATTTCTCACATGAAGGATTTTTGTTTGTTTTTTGTACAGATACATGGCCATTATCGATCCCCTGAAGCCCAGACTGTCTGCAACTGTAACGAAGGTGGTCATTGGGAGTATATGGATTTTGGCTTTCCTGCTTGCATTTCCCCAGTGCCTCTACTCCATAACCAAAGTGATGCCTGGAAGAACTCTTTGCTATGTAGCATGGCCAGGTGGTCCAAAACAGCACTTTACGTAAGCTTTTCGGCTTTTATACTCAGGCATGGCTATATCTAAACTGCAGGCTTATTTTAATTTTACAGAGGGATCGCAAGAATAACTTGCAGGCCAAGAAACCAAGCCCTATACCTATCCCATGCTCACAATCTGGGTTACAGAGATTTTCAGCCATATCCTCATCTGGTGTAAATTGACGTAGCTCTACAGAAGACAATGGAGCTACACCAATTTACACCAGCTAAGGATCTAGCCCTTAATCTGCAGGAGTTTGGGATGGTACATTACTTATGAGTGACAAATTTATATGGAAGGAGATCTTCTTTCATTTACCTGTCAGGACCAAAGTTAAAATTCTGTGTTTGCTCTTCAATAGCAGTTCACCACACTGCCACTAAAACTAGGACTTATGTTATATAGGTTTTTGAGGCAACCCCATGCATTGCAGGGTAAACGAGGAAGTCTGTACACTGATCTCAGTAGTTGAAGATGCCAATTTTTCAAATATTTGGATTTTAAAAGTTGTTTATGGGTACTTTATTGTGCAATATTTGTCTACCCAGAAAACTGGTCTCAGTGACACTATTTTACAGTGTTGTAACTGTGTTACTCCTGATAAATAGCAGCCAGTATGAGTTCAGAATCAGAACTATAGGTTTTAATAATGACTTCAGATCTTAAACAGTTTTCCATCTGCTTTTAATGCAGTTTACTTAAGACTTTCATGATGGACAGTAAAAAACACAATACTGGGCCAAATCCCCAGCTGGTGTAAACAGTCACCATTTACTCCATCTGAGACTGACCCCTTAGGTAGTAGAGAAAATGTCTTATTTCTCAAACATTCAGAAAATTCTATCTGAATAGTTCCTTTCAAAGCATTTATCAGTTCAATGCTCTTTTATTGCAGGTATCATGTCATTGTGATTGTATTAGTGTATTGCTTTCCACTGCTTGTCATGGGTATCACTTATACCATAGTTGGAATTACCCTTTGGGGAGGCGAGATTCCAGGTGACACATCTGACAAATACCACGAGCAGCTCAAAGCTAAGAGAAAGGTACTGTTCCATTAAACCTTGCTAAGTAAATTTATATTGATTTTTTTTCCTGCTGAAATCACTAGCAATTACGTTGTAAAGTATTGGAAGTGTTTTATTTCAAACAGAATGGCATTTGAGACTGTTATAAAAGAACTCTGTTTAAATTGCAATTGATTTTGACAGGGTTCCCCCCCCCCCCACCATGTGGTGGCTGTTCAAACAAATGATGTAAATGTTTGGATTTTAACTCTTTACTCCAATTCTAGGAGGCTCTGAGTAACATTTAGTCAAGCATACAATTGTGTCCTTGAGATGTGGAAACAGAAGGCCTGCCTTATTAACAGAACTAAAGTGATGATCCTGGAACTTCTTGGGATCAGCTTTGTTTATTCTCTGAACAGTAGCTGTTTTTTGACCTGATCCAAATCCAGCAGAAGTCAAGGGAATCTTTCTATGACTTAATAGGTTTTGGATCTGGCCTATTTCAGTACACAGATAAGAGCTGCTTTACCTATTCATGTAACGAATGCTATGCATTAGAAATTAGCACCTTTTACAGTGAAAATCAACTGATCCTTTCAATTATTTTTTTCAATGTATTTCATTAGTTTTAATTATTTGTATAATCAATATTTCAGTTTATACGTTGTTAGTGAACCATTTACTTTGACAATTCACTCAGTAGTTGTGCAATTGGTCACATGGATCAGATTGTATTGTTTCCGCTTCTTAGGCGGACGACAGAACATTCTAAGTAGGATAGTAACCAAATAAATAAGCCCTTCTGTTGTTCATTTTTTGTGCTAAAATTCTTTAAAATGGATTTGCAAACATTGGGCCCAATGATGGAACTCTAACTTGCTTTGGTGAGCACATACTCAATTAGTCTGACTGGTCATCCCAAAGTTATCCAAACATTTGTGAATAATGAACATAATCCCATGAGTCATAACAAACTGAACAAAAAACACTTTGTGAAATACTCGTGAATCAGTTATTCCAACTCTGCCACAAACTCTCCATCACAATTAAAATTCACATAGGAGGACACCACCAAATTCTGCTCACTACTAGTGTTAGTGTTGTGTCTTAGACAGTTGTGACCTTGGAATACAAAAATTATGTTAATGTAAATAACTATTAGCCTTAATTAAACCCATCCAGGCTTTCTGGCTATCTACATATAAAACTCTGGCTTGCTACCACTCCACAATAACGGGGGGGGACCCTCAAAGTCCTGATGCAGTATGCATTAAACCATAGGATGGATTCTTGGGTGCTTCAGTTGTTTCAAAAACATACAAAGGAACATAGAAGGAAGTGCTCCCAGACAGTACAAGTGATCACACCCTTAGAATAGAGGGCCTAGAAAGGGAGATGTCAGGGCTACCAAGAGTGTTTCTGAGCCCAGAATACATCATGTAGTCTTGATCAGTTGGCAAGAGCAAACAGAACAAATTCCCACTTTTGTCAAAAAGTGGGGTGTGAGGGGGGAGTGAGCAGCAATGCAACTCAGGGTTGGGGGTGGGAAGGGCCCAGGTAAGTGGCTTGGGCTAGTCCCACCTGGGGGAATGGGGGAAGGCTCAGGCTAACTCTGTGGTGTCCTGTTTTCCCTTTGGGAAATATGGTCCCCCTACAGTGGGATGAATGCAATGTCTTCTGTGTATAGGTTGCAAACAGTTTCACTCACCCAAGTCCTGGATGCTTAAGGAAGTTTAGGCTACCACCTGCAAGTTGGACCCATGTCCTTAATAACTAGTAACACCCTGTGGAAAATATTGGAAAGAACTTTGAACAGCTCCTTTTTGGAGGGCAAAGTGCCAGCATCTCTTAAAGAAGCAACTGTTAGGCCCTGCTCAAGCAACCATCTTTTAACAGACTCTTACCAGTTATTGCCTTAACTCTATTCTTGTGGGAACGGGGGAGGGTAGGGGGGGGCATGGTAATTTTAAACTAAGTGAAATGTAATTATTAAGGAAATCTGGAAAATGTACTTAATTGTATCCCCCCGAAGCTAAATGCTTTAGATTCAGTTCAAGGAATATAAAAAGCATTTCCATAGTGCTCTGTTTAGATCTTTAACAGGGTCCTTATCTCCCATGGCAGCAGGAATGAATCTGCCATTCACAATATCACCCATCCAAAAACAAGTTTCGTATGTTTACAAAATGAACTTTATTACAAAACCCTAGCAGTAGAAACTCTACTGGGCAATTAGCTGGCTTATTCCCTATACCTCCTCATTAGGTCATAAAAAGAAACCATGAACGGTGCCAAGGGTTTGACAGTGAAGATAAACTGAGAGATGACTGTGTGTGACAAATGCAGTTTCCCAAAGGGAGTTTGGAAGGAAATATTAAAGGCAAGCTCCTGAACTCGGGGAGCCAAGCCTTCCCACTTTATCAAAGAAATTCAGCACATTTGATAGTAGTGGCTAAACGAAATGAACAATTTGTGATGAAAGCTAGAAGGCTTTGAAAAGAGTAGCTGGCATTTACTTTGTGTTGCTAATAGTCCAACTACATCCCTTCAATCCTTTAAAACTATGGCTATTTAGGACTTTAAAAGTATGCAAGAGACATGAAATGCCTCATTAATTAAAGGTTTCAGAGTAGCAGCCGTGCTAGTCTGTATTCGCAAAAAGAAAAGGAGTACTTGTAGACAATGGATTATGTAGTGTGGTCTCTCAACCTCAGCCGTGCAGAACACAATGCCATCCACAGCCTCGGAAACAACTCGGACATCATAATCTAAAAGGCTGACAAAGGAGGTGCTGTCGTCGTCATGAATAGGTCGGAATATGAACAAGAGGCTGCTAGGCAGCTCTCCAACACCACTTTCTACAAGTCATTACCCTATGATCCCACTGAGGGTTACCAAAAGAAACTACAGCATTTGCTCAAGGAACTCCCTGAAAAAGCACAAGAACAAATCCGCACAGACACATCTCTGGAACCCCGACCTGAGGTATTCTATCTGCTATCCAAGATCCATAAACCTGGTAATCCTGGACGCCCCATCATCTGAGGCATTGGCATGTAGACTCACTCCTCAGGCCCTACGCTACCAGCACTCCCAGCTATCTTTGAGACACCACTGACTTTCTGAGGAAACTACAATCCATCGGTGATCTTCCTGAAAACACCATCCTGGCCACTATGGATGCAGAAGCCCTCTACACCAACATTCTACACAAAGATGGATTACAAGCCATCAGGAACTGTATCCCCAATAATGTCACGGCAAACCTGGTGGCTGAACTTTGTGACTTTGTCCTCACTCATAACTATTTCACATTTGGGGACAATGTATACCTTCAAATCAGTGGCACTGCTATGGGTACCCACATGGTCCCACAGTATGCCAACATTTTTATGGTTGACTTAGAACAACGCTTCCTAGCTCTCGTCCCCTTATGCCCCTACTCTACGTGCGCTATATTGATGACATCTTCATCATCTGGACCCATGGAAAAGAAGCCCTTGAGGAATTCCACCATGATTTCAACAATTTCCATCCCACCATCAATCTCAGCCTGGACCAGTCCACACAAGAGATCCACTCCTGGACACTACGGTGCTAATAAGCAATGGTCACATAAACACCACCCTATACCGGAAACCTACTGACCTCTATTCCTACCTACATGCCTCCAGCTTTCACCCAGATGACACCACACGATCCATTGTCTACAGCCAAGCTCTATGATACAACCGCATTTGCTCCGACCCCTCAGACAGAGACAAACACCTACAAGATCTCTATCAAGCATTCTTACAACTACAATACCCACCTGCTGAAGTGAAGAAACAGATTGACAGAGCCAGAAGAGTTCCTAGAAGTCACCTACTACAGGACAGGCCTAACAAAGAAAATAACAGAACGCCACTAGCCGTCACCTTCACCCAACTAAAACCTCTGCAGTGCATGATCAAGGATCTACAACTTATCCTGAAGAACGATCCCTCACTCTCACAGATCTTGGGAGACGGGCCAGACCTTGCTTACAGACAGCCCCCCAACCTGAAGCAAATACTCTCCAGCAGCCACACACCACACAACAAAAACACTAATCCAGGAACCTATCCTTGCAACAAAGCCCGTTGCCAACTGTGCCCACATATCTATTCAGGGGACACCATCATACGGCCTAATCACATCAGCCACACCATCAGAGGCTCGTTCACCTGCACATCTACCAATGTGATATATGCCATCATGTGCCAGCAATGCCCCTCTGCCATGTACATTGGCCAAACTGGACAGTCTCTACATGAAAGAATAAATGGACACAAATCAGACGTCAAGAATTATAACATTCAAAAACCAGTTGGAGAACACTTCAATCTCTCTGGTCACTCGATTACAGACCTAAAAGTGGCAATGCTTCAACAAAAAAACTTCAGAAACAGACTCCAACGAGAGACTGCTGAATTGGAATTAATTGCAAACTGGTTACAATTAACTTAGGCTTGAATAGAGACTGGGAGTGGATGGGTCATTACACAAAGTAAAACTATATTTCCCCATGTTTATCCCCCCACCCCCCACTGTTCCTCAGACGTTCTTGTCAACTGCTGGATGTGGCCCACCTTGATTATCACTACAAAAGGTTTCCACTCTCCTGCTGGGAATAGCTCACCTTAAGTGATCACTCTGGTTACAGTGTGTATGGTAACACCCATTGTTTCATGTTCTCTATGTATATAAATCTCCCCACTGTATTTTCCACTGAATGCATCTGATGAAGTGAGCTGTAGCTCACAAAAGCTTATGCTTAAATAAATTTGTTAGTCTCTAAGGGGCCACAAGTACTCCTTTTTCTTTTTTCATTAATTAAAGGCTTTTTAACATGATGTCAAGCCCCTCTTTTCATTATGCCTCTCCATATTATCTCTCTGCCTACAATGGGCATGTATCGGAATTCATGCCTTGCAAATGTACAATGAGAGGATTAATAGTGTAGGGGACGTAAAGTAACTGCATCGGCAGTGTTATCAGTGGAGCCCTTAGACAGC